GGGCCTCCGGCCTCGGCGGATATGTCGAGCTACAGTGTGCTGGTAGGTGTAAGGGTTAGTAGCAGCTTTAACGATACGGGCACCAGCAGCAGCAACACTAACGAGACGATTTAACAGCGGTCGCTTGTGACCATGGAGTTGCTGTCGATGCTGGATGTTCCAGACTGACTATTTCATCAACAGTCATCCGCCCGCTGCAACAAGAAGAAGAACGTTGATAGTCGGAACATGTCGCAACAGCATTTCCCGCAGTAGCGGCAACGCGCAGCTGGAGCAAAGTGGAATTGGACATAACTGCGATATACTGCTAGCATGCGCCACGGTATGCCTCTTTGATATTTTTGTATGCTTTCGGTCCTCTTCACGTTTCTTGTAGCTGTAGCTTCTTGGCCTTGATACGTTTGAAAGCCTTGGGCCACTTGGCATGTTGGCTTTCTGGCATGTTCCGCATGCTCGCACTATTTTTCATATTTCTTAATGGTCATGGAGGCACTGCCATCATAGGATCCAGAGCGGCTTCGGCAAGCCCTGCCAAAGGCCCTGCACGGGAAGCCTTGTGGCCAGTGAGTGGAACACAGCCGTGGAGTTGGATGCAGCTGTGAAGCTGAATGTGGAGGCCCTGCGACGTGCAGCGACCCCGAAACTGAGTAGGACAAGCTTGAGTTTGCATGTACACTAACAAATATGACAAACTGGACACGTGTTTGCACCAATTCGTTCCGCAGTACATGAACTTGCATTTTTGCCTGCCACAGTTTCTCCTGGGTCCCCCTAACAGCACGCCACAAGAAAACACATACCCTTGATTGACGCGGAAGGACGATGATGAGTCGGTCAAGCCCGGGAAGGACTATGCGCGGTTGTGGCAGCAGTCCTGCTTACCGCTTAGGCCATGGTTTTGTCTTCAGGAGCCCGAGACATCGGCAGAACCACAGCAGCTGACAGATCGTTTGGCAATGGGGTGGTATTTGGCACCTTTCTTGATGTTTTGGCCTTGAATGAATATGCGGCAGCGTCACTGCTTGCTGGCAACCTAGTGACGGCCACGCAGCCTGTCCAGCGTTTTGCTTGAACCCGCGGACACGTAGCAACCACGAGCAGCATGGCGGGTGCCTTATGCTGTTGCAAGGCCACGACCGTCGTCTACTTCGTGTACAGAAGCTGCAAGCTTGGCATTGATTGAAGCCAGTCATCAGCCGTTTCGCTTAAACTCAGTAGAGTCAAGTGGACCAGGCGCTGTTTCAATTGATCACTGCAGCTTTGCCTCACATGCTAGAGCTTGGTATAGCAATCTTGAAAAGCTTGCCCAAGGTCAGTGTTTTGAGCAACTTCGAGAAACGAGGTTAAGAATGTGCATGGGAACTTTATGTCTTGTGCCAGAACAAGGTTTCCGTCCCCTCCCCGAGATACTAGTAGCTAGTATGTATGTATTTAAGAAGTATGTATGTAATTAATGGTATTCCCACAGAGATGAGCCATGATGAACCCATGGCTACTGCTGGGACCATGAGAGTGAGCAAGCCTAGGTCAGGAACTGTCCATCTTCACTCCTCATGCCTACACCGTCCGCCCGATTGACGCCATCGGCCTGCTCTTCGTCTGCTCCTTCTTGGTCACACGGAAGCCGAGCCTCGACTTGACGAGAACTCTTTGAAAAAAGAGGTCCCGGTCCCCCTCAAGGCACCAGGTCCGACCAAAGACCGTTTGGCCAGCCGAGGAGCTACCTGATCTACGCCATCAACCCCTTTCGCAATGCTGTGCTGGCCACCTGAGGGCAAAGGTCAGTGAAAACGTAGTGATTACGATGGATTTTGCCAGAGCGGCCGGGCGACCTGAAGTGCTCAGGTTGCGCTGCAGGAGATGTTCCCTCTCCTGCCGCCTGGTTGAAGTGGTTTCGCATGCTGCCAGAAGCATCACGTTAGTAATGGGTAAGATCTCACAGTCCTAGGGCTTCGGAGACCTCGTGACATGCACGATCTGATAAACGCATTGCGAAGACAAACATGACAGCGAGGAAAGCACCTGCTGTCAGGTCTGAGACACGCGTTAACCCGGAGTATTATCGGAACATTGCCTCGGCCAGTGTGCAGCTCCTGTGTGGGCTGGCAATTCTGCCACTGGGCTGCAGGCACCTGGCAGTGCCAGAAACATGAGACTTTGTGGCGTGTTCGGATCGAACCAGAATACTAGAAGTGATTGGGCTGCTGTAGCTGACAAGGTCGACGTGGCGAAACGCCCACTAGTGCCCGTAAATCACACATCACAGTGCCGGCTCGATGGATCGTTGGGGTCTCTTTTTTCAGGAACCCGCTGCATCCGAGAAGTTTAAACCTAGACTCGGCAATACCGGATGGTTTTAAGCCTGTTTGTAAATCCGCAACGATGCCATGTTCTTGCAAAGTTGACGGCGTCCAATTTCCGATGTTCTCGCGATTGATTTGCTTTAATACGCATCTGAGGGCATTTACGAAACCTCAGCCCATCGGCTCTGGCAAGAGCTGGGCGCTCCAGGTGGATGGAATGTGGGGAAGGGGAGGGGTGGGGAAGGGGGCATTTGCGAGACTCGTGGCACAGCAAAAGGCTCAGGAAGTCCTGCCTGTAGCAAAGCTGATGCAGAAAGGGTTGCCTTCATGAGCGCAGGTCCCCTGCTTGGATGCTGCATGCTGCTTGCCACATCGGCACCCTGGAAGCAGTTTGCACCTATGGATACAGGTGATTTATTTCGGCCGTGCATGATCGTGCAGGTGCTTTCCAGGGATGTGAACCACCAATTCGCTGCAGACATATATTATAAACCTGTTGCTGCTCGCCTTTGCGGCTTCAGGTCTCGTTGGCAGAAGGGCGTTGCTTGGGCTTCAACCTCAGCGAGATGTTGCCGCAGCCATCCCGAATCCCAGACGCTGATTGAGAAATTGCACTGTGGAAGCAGCAAGCAGCAAGATGCAGCAAGTCTTTCGACGTGGGGCAGGGCAACACGAGCAAGAGGAGTGCAGAGTGGTACATCATGGGGGGTATTTCACGCTTCGTGAACAGTTGTCACTGAAGCTTGTTGATGCGTGCTATGCGTGCTGAAGGGTTGTTGCTGCACCGTGCTGAACCCGGGGCGGGAACCACACCGAACCCGAAGTCGGGTGTGTAGTCGTTAATTTGCGTTCAACAATCGCTTTCTTCCTTTGTCTTGCAACGAAGAACGTAACTGATAGGCGACGTGCCGTCAGCCTAAACAGCTGGACGTACCTGGAAGCAACACTTGGCATAGCTTCATGCAGACTGACGGCTAGAGGCGGGGTTCACTTGTGTGTATTCTGAAACACGAAAGCTGGTAGAAGAAGAGTGGCCTGCTGAGACGGTGAACATCCTGCTGCTGGTGACGGCCATCGCAGCAACGGCCATTGCTTTGGAGAGTCTTATCGTTTTTGAAGCAAGAGCAAGTATATTATGAGGCGGGCACCCCTCAATGTCTGGCAGTGGCTCTTCCTGACCGATATATAGTTCTTTCTGCCCGCCAGAACTGTAGCACTGTTGCTTCTGGAGCCTTCGTTCTCAGCGAGAAGACTGGACAAGCCGTTGGGTTCGAGGGTAGCTGATAGCTTGCTCAGGAAGCAAAGCGAGGGCTTCACCAATTTCATGTCTGAGGACGGGTTTGCCATTTGCGCGAGGGGTATCCAGGGCTGGAGCCAGTTAGGTCAGGTATTCCAAGGCACAGCTGCGCAGCTAAGCCTCAATCGCACCATGAAGGACTACATGAAGACCTTGCAAGGTTGGGTCGGGAGCTACACGCATCTATGTTGCCATGTAGTTGGACCCCGCGCTCTGCGCGGCCACTTAATCTATCGCTTTTTCCTCGGGTTTTCGCTACTTTGGGGGTTGGAGGGGTGGGGGGTGGGGGGGCGGGGTAATAAGGTTCTTTGTTTCACGTTCTTTCTTTCAGCATTGTTCGAGGATGAGGATCTACTTTGCTAGTCCGTGCATGCTGGTGTTGTCTTGGACGCATGGTGCTGCATGATGCTTGCATGGTTATGGTGGTGCTGGCTGATGTTGTATATGGGGATGCTCCTGGATGCAGCTTGCATGGGCATGGTCTTGGATGCTGCTTGCATGGGGACGCTGGTGCTGGATGATGCTTGCATATTGCATAGGGGTGGTGCTGGATGCTACTTGCAGGGTTTTGGCTGCAAGTTGCTATACATGGTCATGCTTGCATGGCCGCAGAGCATTCAGATTCCGCCTCTTTTCTGTTGCGAGACCCCTAAGTATTTTCAAAATCCACACTGTTAAAACCCTCAAGCTCTCTCAAGCCCGAACAACCTGTAAATTACCATGCGAACGGCTATTCATTCCTTGGTCACGTGCTTGCCGGCCGGTGGCCGCACAAGGCGCGGGAACCTAGTTGGAGTTGGATTGCATATCCCCTTGGTATGGATACCTCCCGGCAACATCCTATACAATTCTGACATTGCCAGCCGCAAGGACCACGGTCTCAAGATCATCTTCTCTGTCTTGTACCTCGGACTATGACTATAAATCCCACACAACGGCCGTGCGATGATTGAGTTGAACTTCCATGGCATGTTGCAGCAATCACACCTTCTTGGTTTCTCAAGAAGGGATTCAACCAGCCAGGAAAAAGGTCAGAATCATTAGGCCCATGCCACTCGCCAATCACATTCCTCACGTTTGCGCAGGTTGAGTGAGGAAGCCGTCGTAGTGGGAGTGAGCTACTGAAGGTGTGATGAAGGTGTGTCAGTAAAGGCCGAGGCATCACAATACATGTGGCATACTATGCCGAGTCTCAAGCACCCAGGTTGGGAATCAGTGAAGAGGTCTCCTGGCGCGAGGTGTACATGGCCGACAACAACAATTCTTTGCAGGCCGGATTTGTCAGCTCTGTACCAGAGTATCTGCTACAGATTACCCAATCTAATCTGCGATGATCTGCAAGTGACAGGTTCCGGAGAGAAAACACATCTCTGTGGAGCCAGGTCTCTGCAGGTGTAGTGCCATTTCAGATTGACATCTTTACCAAGGCCTTCACCTGGGGCATGAATCACGTCGTGGCAGGCCGGCTGTGTGAGACCAGGTAGAGTAGTTCATTTCCTTTTCGCAGCTGTTGAGCCGACTGCCACAGGCACTGGCATGGACAATCCGTTGGTGTATGGCCTTGTAAGTGGGCTTTTTGGTTGCAGGCATGTAGGCCTTTTTTCGTGGGGCTCGGTCCAGTTGCTGCATCTTTGACGAGAGGTGGGAGCGCATTGTGCATGGCTTTCGAATCCCGCATCCGCTGGAAATTGATCAGCTTTTTTCTGGCTTGATCGTCCACACTGCAGCCGAGGAGTTACGCCTTCCTTCTTGGAATCACGGATTTCAGATCTCTGCGATATTTCCATCATGCCGCCGTCGAGTACTTTGTCATCGAAGCTCGGAAGTGACTTCCATAATAGGGAGCCCCTCAGAGTATGTAGGCATGCTTTGCGAGCCGGCTCGAGTGCCAGCACAAGTGAAGATGGCTGTGAGGACAACCTTGTCAAGCCAGAAGGTCACGAAGTGTGGTTGACGATGAGCGTTCGCAGACTCTATGGTTTTTTTGCTTGAGCTTTGTCAGTCGTCGAGATCATTTGGATCTTGCACAGACTACTTGATCATGGGCTTGTCACATGTCACGGATTCACGTGGCTCGCTGCACTGCCACCAGCTGATACAAAGGGCTGACATCTTTTCTCCCAGCGGTAGGCTTCAGTCAGGACCTCGGGGCCCCCGGAACCCTTGAAGATTCGAAGTTTCTCAGAGGTTGCTTATGTTGTGACAAACTTGGAGAGAAGTGTCTAAGCTCAGCAGCCAACGGCAGCAGCTGCAAGAGTTTTTGCCAAGCCATCTGCTGCTGCAGAAATGCGCAGCCACAGATGAGGCAACACAACACGCGCAAGAGGGATACAACATGGTACAGCTGCAAACCTGTAAGTGAACCTAAGTCAGAAAGCTACTGCTGGACCCGAGGTTCATCATTTCCCGAAAGTTCCTCGTCTGTTTTGACCTACGCCATACCAATACGTGGGAGTTGTTCTGACCACGATCATTTTTGTTCCGGAGTCCTCCCGCTGCAACAAGTACCGCAATGGCAATCCGAGTGTAGCACAACTCCTACATCGCCTTGGCGGCCACGTTGACCTTGACTTCGGCACTGTGCAACTTGCAGTGCCTTTGCCAGAGCAGAAGCTCGGAGGCTCAGTCTCGTCGCTTCTGGAGTAGACAGGAAATCAATTTAGCAGCTGCACGTGGGGGTGCATCCCGTAGAGATTGCGACCACGTGTTACCCCCACGATGCCACCGCGGAGCGGCATGCATCTGGAGGTCAATTCGCTTTTGAACGTGCACGGGCAAACTATGCTTTTTGAATCCACACCCAGGCCCAGTGTCCGAAGGTATGGGCCTTCAGCCTAAAGCTTTACAGATCTTAAACTTCAATCCCCAATCCCAGTCCGTAAGCTCATATACGCCTTTACCTCAGGCCCACAACCTCAAGCGCGAAACCCCTGCAGCATCTTGAAACCACTAGTGCAAGCCCAAACCCTATCAGTTACTATCAGTTACTGCTCGCCTTGCCGTGGCACGCGTTTGTTTGCAGTGTTTGGGTGCAGCTGATTTCGGATCGCAGGGGAGCCACGGCAAGGCAATCTGTGGGGCATGAAGCCCCGTCGAAGTCTAAGAGTCTCAAGCGGTTGTTGCGGTCAGAGAGCTTGGTGCCGAAGCCCAAGTTACTATCCGCGGGACATCTGGCTTTGCAGAGAAGAGAATGAGAAAGAGCGCACACTCGATGGTAAGAGTATGAGTATGTATGCCACTTTTCTCAGCGATCGAAATAGCTGCATCGTTAGCCAAACACGTTCGAACCACTTTGCCGTTCGTCAGGAGTACAGAGCTCAAGAGGCATTGGTGGTGCAGACGGACGGATCAGTGCAGCTTGAGATGAAGGACGTGGGCGATTTCTGTGACAGATTTGCCAAGTCTGTGAATGCAAATTCCCCGTTACGGCACAGTGTCTCCCATGCGACAGCATACTATGGCATAACGCAGTGTGGCATGAGTAAGTCTGTACACAGGCAGCGAGCAAAAGAAGGTCTGTCTGGGTATGAGTGATTCTGTGTATGCTGTTTAGCAAGCATATGCAGGTGTGTAAAGAGAAAGCAGGGTACATAGCTTGTCTGTAAAGAGAGAAAGACCCCAGCATGGGGGGCATAGCTGAGACAGTGTAAGCATCCGTGTTGACAGCGGAACCCTGCAGCATGATGTGTGCTAGCTTCTTCCGAGTAGCAGAGCAGAGACAGGCTTATCCGTATGGAAACATCTCAAAACACGGCGCTGCAAAAACAAGGGTGGGCATTCTCGGAGGGGCGGGTGGGAGGGCGTGTAACCCCTCTAGACCTACGGAGACAAGAAAGACAACTAGCTCGTTCCAACACACAACCCTGGCCAGAGGCGGATTCCAGGTAGTGCAGCAATGGACAACCACGCCTTCACAAGCGCAGTTCACTTCAACAATACAGGACCAGTGCACAGGAACACTCGAGGAGTGGGGGGGGGATTCCCCTCATCCCCGACTGTGCTGAAGAAGGCAGATAAACTTTCTGCATGTCTCGTAGGCCTACCCGAGACAGGAAAGCTCGGCTGGTGCTGGTACTTGTAGTATACTTCTATGCATAGCGGCGGTGAGAGAGCGAGAGAGAGACCCTGGGCCCCCCACCTCGTAGAGAGAGAGAGAGAGAGTCGGCTATGTAGAAGAAGAAATAGAGAGATGCAGAGAGAGACAGAGAGAGAGAGAGAGAGAGAGAGGGCAAGGACATACCCTGGACCCCATGGCCCGTAGAGAGAGAGAGAGAGAGGGCAAGGGGGGCAACCCTCTTGCCCATAGCCCTGCTGAAAGAAAGAAAGAAAGAAAGAAAGAAAGAGAGAGAGAGAGAGAGAGATAAGGGACGAATCCATGTGAGTAGGCCATGTTTGCTGAAGAGGGGTGATAGGCCTGGAACCTACCTCTGCTGAGCTCTCAAGTCTCACACCGACTAACGACACGAGACCTTGGCGTAGCGCATGCGCGCAGGGGAAGGGGATTCTCCCCAACCCCAAACGCCGAGCAAGCAAGCAAGCAAGCAAGCAAGAGCGAGAGATACTTCCTGTCGCCGTTATCGCATACTATATGACTCTAGTCATTGGAAGTATTATGTTCGTTCCTCATTCCCCTCAGCCCGCATTACACACATGCGGGTGGGCCAGTGTCCCGGGGCTTTGACCGGCCTTCATGCCCGGGAGAGAGAGAGAGAGAGAGAGAGAGAGAGAGAGAGAGAAAAAGCGAGAGCGAGCGAGAGAAAAAAAAAAAAACGCCGCGGGGGG